CCTGTGCCTTCTGCACCATCAGAAGCAAGGGGCAGGAGGTCTTTGTCTTCGAGCCAGGTGTTAAAACAACTGTTTTCTTTTTACCTTTGAGAGAATATTGCAAGAACAGAAGTAGATGAAATGGAGTATTAGACCCTAAAATAAGCAACACCAATTTATTTACACTGTTAATGCAAACCAATAATGTTTCTATTTGGAATTTTATTTCTACAGAGACAAATATCTCAGTAAAATATACCTTTTTTTCCCCTGAAAAATAAACTTCATTAATTGCAACCTATTATTTCATGATATCCATATTTTAATAATAATCTCATTTTACCCATATAAAACTTATAGTAACTGCACCTTCTCCTTCCATGTTTTTTTTGTCTTAGATTTAAAACCTTGCTAACACTCATCATCTCCCATCTGAGCACTTAGGTATACAGCCCAGGCCAAAATAACCTTCATTACTTGAAAACTAATTAAACAATTTAAAACTTACAACTATTCAAATTATTTTTTATTTCAGTTTTTTATTTCTATCTGATTCACTTGTCAGAATTTTGCAGAGTGAGGAAACAGATCTGCATTGCTAGCTAACAGGTGTTGAAACAAAAAAACCTCCTGATTTGATGACCATCTCACAGAGGGACTAAAGAGAATTAATTACTCTTCAGCAACAGCTAGCTAGTAAGTAAGTAACCCACACAGTAGACTAGTCACGTGAACTCATAAGATGCCTTTTATTTCTTGACTGCCTGCTCTCCCAATGTCTACAAGGGGTCACATCTGTATCATAGTGGGAAAAGAGCAAAATGAAGCACCACCAACAAAAACACAATTGCTGTTAGCCTGGTGGTGCAAACAATAAGGAATGTTAGCACTTTAGAAAGGGTTAGGGAAGGTTAAAGATACCAAATCTGTAACTAGGGTAAAAAAAGTACCAGTTCATTAAATGCTGACCATGATATTTTTAAAAAATTAGAACAAATCACAAGGAAGTTTAAGTGCTAAGGTCAACAACACAGTACAATCTTTTGCATATTTCATAAATTTAAAAATGAAATATTCATTACCAACCTTAATGCCAAAGTGTAGGTTCCGGGTTGCCGTTGGCTTTCACGAATGAGATAGCTTCCCTCTGCAACACTTAATAATTGGTCAGCTTCCTCCCTTGAGATCATCCCATGGAATCTAAGGAACAAAAACTTTTTGAAACACATGCCTTTTCACTCTTAAATCACCTTGTCCTCTTCTTTTAAAAACTGCCAAGCACGGTAATTAAAAAAGAAACAAAGATAAAATTGACTGATTTGCAGGAGTCTAGAGCTTAAACTAATCTCCCCTTCTGCCTGTATTTGAAATCACTTTAATTGGTTTAGAAAGGCTTCTATGAAGCAAGTACATTGTTTTTTGAATCTGCATCCATCAATTTAATATGTAGAAATAAATCCATTTTCTTCTGTGGACTGTGCACGTTTTGTGCCAGTGGCATACAATCCTACATTTTGCATCATTCAGGGATATTATGGCAATTGGCTAAAATCTTTGGGATTGCATATAATCTCAGTAATTACTGGTGTAATAACCTAGCAATACTACACATCTTTTACCAAAATAAACACAAATAAGATCTGCTTTGCTTCCCCACACTAAATCTAACCATCTTTGCCTTAGTGGTCTGAAATGGAAGGCATATATATACTGTAACACTTATATTGCATTTGTGATCCAAATCTCTTTTTTCCTGCACACAAACATCTTTTGCAAATGCCAACTGGGGGGGGGGGGCGCATAGAAAGAGACAACCCTGTGAAAGTACAGTAACAGATGTTTTTCTCACGTAAGGTAGAGCTCAATGATATCCATATCCGTCAGAAAATGCATCTGTAATTTTAGGCAGACAAAAGTGATGGTACTGCAATAATAATCTGATGGCAAGCAAGACACACTGGTGTAAAACATACAGAAGAACCAAAGGCCCAGAGTAAATGCTTGCAATCTTTTCTGTAACTATTATCAACCGGCATGTCCGGATAAACCACTTTCAGAGATGTATGTTACTTACTCTCTTCCATAATATTTGGGTCTGTTCTCTACCTAGAAGAAACAACAGAAAGTGTAATGTTTAGTAACAAGTGAACTCACACAGTGAGCATACTGTCCACAATATATAATTAAAACCAGAAAGGGATATAATGTGAAAAAACAGACAAAAATCCATCTACTATCCCAGGATTTTCCTTGTGGGTGGAATATAGGGAAACCAAAGGCAGACCTTTGGAAAATATTGCGCTTCTGAACATCTTAAAACAGAGTGAGAAAGAATGAACCGCTTGGATCATGTCATCCTCAGGGCTTTGCTACTACAAACTGATGGCCAGTAGTATTGCCTGTACAAATTGCCAAAAAAGGGGAAACAAGATTAATTTCATGGGTGTAAGTGTATTATATTAAGTGCACTAATACAGTGAAACATCCATAAAACTCTTAAATTTACATGTTTTCTTCCATCATAGAGCTGTTGGTGCCACTGCTGCAAAAAATTAAGCCACTACCATATCCCCTCAGAGTGAGGGCAACTGGTAGATTAAACAATCATTAGTAAGTGCCTAAGCCTTGCACTTCTTGACTTCACTAAACTGTGTGATCTGTAGTATCACCTAACAAACCTCAACAACAGGTATGCATGTGTCATGCTGTACAACACAAGCCTGTCTGTGCTCATACAGTGTAAATGCACACAACATGCAAGGGTGTCAGAACACAATTTGCCTGCTGAGTATTTCACATGAAGTAACTAATCTGCAATTGTCCAAGAAGTTTATAGACAGGTGAGGAACTGCAGACCTCCCAGAAATCAACTCACTAATCTAAACCACCAGATTATCCCCCCTTGCCAAATTAAAAGGAGTAGAAACTCTTTGGGAAGTAAAATTCAACAGTCATACAACCTGAGCTGCAAGAGTATAAAACAATCCAGCTATAATAAAACACAAAATACAGTAAACTGCCAGTTCAGTATCTTTTTCCATCTTTTCAGGAAAAAAAAAAGCCTATTAAAATTAGCACTTCTCTCCAGTCATCTCAAATATAAATAAAGATTTCAGGTGTACAAAACAGCAAAAAATACATCCTTTTGTATAGTCTAATAACAACTCTTCCACATTCCCAGCAAATAAAATGCTTTTGTGATGGTTCATCACTTTTGAGAAATCATTCCATCACTGGAAAGATTTATAATGTTATAAAATATTTCCTTTTCCTACATAACAGCAAACAAGAGTTGACCGGTGTGATAACTGTTTTCCAAGGGCCTGAAGAGACTGGATCATTTGAAAAAAAAAACACAAAAAAAAGTCTTACATATTTTCTGTTAAATGTAGGCTATTTCTTCAAGAGGAAGATGGCAAACGTGAATAAAGTGAAAACATTTTGTTGTTATTACAGAAACTTGCAACAATTCATAACTAAAACCCTCAAGACATGACACTGGTCTCAGGCAGTTGTTAAAAAAAGAATCTTCTCGTGAATAAGATTTTTGTTGTCTGTCTGCTGAGATTTTATGTTTATCTCAGTGAATTTATATGACAGAACTGGAAAATTTATACAGGCAAAAGCATTCCATTTCAGAAATGGATTAGTAACGTGACAGGGCATCTTCAGAATACTTGCAAATCCCAAACCAAATTATAATATTATACTCTGTGGGCAAACATTTTGACATGTGAACTGGCAGATGACTGGAGCAAAGCATCAGAGAAAAACTCTGCTGGACTTCCAGACAACTGTAGCTGGGTTTGCAGTTCATCATGGTGGATGGCAAGTTACAGAGGAAAATAACCACTTCTGTTAACATGGAGTGTCTACTGATCGGTTTTAGAGACTCGCAAAAACTTCTGTATATAAATGTTGACGTGCAACACTATTTGCTTGGATAAGACCCAGTGCAACTCGAACCCTAGTTCAGTGAGTTTTATGGCCTGGTTTCTGGTTTTTGGGTATTTTCATAACTTTTTACGTTTATTATGATATTAGGTCTTTTTGACATCTAGATTGAATGCATACATTTAGACTCTAAGGCAACTCCATCAGAACTCAGCAGGGGCCTTCTAATTCAGCCAGAATTAGCTGGGCTACATGCACACTTAGCACAGTCCATGTGAATTTACTAAAACATACAGATTTCCCGTAAGCCAAATTTACCATGTAAGGTAGTAAACACTGTTCTCCAGCTTTCTATAATGCTTCCAAAAATTATTGTTACACCAGCTTTACTCATAGCAACTTCGCATAAAAAGCAGTGTAGCATTTGTTCTTACTTTAGCTATCCGTAGCTGCCCCAGAACTGGAAGTGACATGCAGCTTTCCTGGTCTTCTGTGTCTGCCTGGACTTCACAAAGTTCCTGCCAGACTGTGTTTCTACAAACTACAATTGCAGACACCCATGTATCTTCCAGTTGCACATGAGTACTGGAAACTTGAAACAGTTCAGTTCAGAAGCTCATTAGCTCGACTTTCACACTCAGCCTTAAATTAAGGAGACAAAACCAAAACATCCATCTGGACTGGAACTAAAATCCACCCAAGTAAGGAAATACATTTTTTAAAAAAAGTCAAAGTGGTAGCAAGAAAACAGTCATTTCAACTGAAAATACAGTGTAATGTATATGTAGAGTTTCTTTGGATTTGACAGTATTTTTGGACAGAAGTATCATTGAGCATGAGTAAAGGCAGCCTTCACTACTTCATTTTCTCTGTATCCAGCAAAGATCACCTGAATGCTAGGTCTTTTGACTTCTCAGGACTTTTTATTTATAGGAAAAAATTCCTATTGCTGTTTGTTTAGCCTGTGTTTGGCACAGTTTAAAAAATTGCTTCTAACTTAGGGAAAAAAAAAAAAAAATAAAAAAACCCCTGGGGGATAGTTGTTTTCAATGTGCTTATTCGTATAGCACTTGTGCAGAGGCCACAGGAAAGATTCAGGTCTCACTATGATGCCTGCAAGAAACACACAGGTCAATGAGATAGCCACCATTCTTTCATCTCTGATTTTTTCAAACCTGATTTTGTGAGATGAAGCCATCTTTGAGAACAGCTCTAAGAAGGATGTGCATTATATATGCCCGTCTATGCTGTGTTTCTCGACTACTCACAGAGGCCATTTTCACAAGACCACACAGAGATGCTGTTTAACAGGCTTGTTAAATACTAGCACTGAATTAGGATGAAGCCTCGTAATAGGACAGAAAAGGACAGTGATTTAATTATTTCCATCATTTGTCTGTTTGATATTTTCTCATACATAGTTATTCAAAATTTGTCATGCAGTGCCTTCATACAGCAGTCAAGGATGCCCTAAACATGCCTGCACATGCACACGTGTATACAAAAGATTATATGCACAAGAAATACAAATTTCATAGAGGTAATACAATATTAATTGGACAAACAACACTACAATTTGGACATAATTCAAATTGAACTTCATGCAGAAGTCAAACATCCTTAGAATGTTATGGCATCACCAACTTTACAAATTAACCTCATACACCGTTAAAAGCCTTGGCTCTGCTGCACCTTCACAACCAAAAAATTCCAGACGAATGCAATGCTCTTTTTACATCAGTGTAACTCCACTGATCTGTCTGCTGCTCTGATATGAAACTGGAGTAACAGAGCAGAAACTCAAATTCTTTCTCTTTGAGAAGCATTTCACGTTAAGTAGGTCATTCTGTTGAATACACCTTTCAGTATCAGCACTTGTACAACATGTGCCTTTGCACCTTAAAAAAAAAGTTGGGGTTTTTATGGTGTGATTTCCAATTATTCTTTAACAAGTGCTTTTCCCTCTAATCATCAGTCTTGTTATGTCAACAAGTGGAATACATTAAGACAAGAGGAGCAATTTACGTGCTAATACATTACCAAATTTCATGTTGTTCCCTCCCACTGACCTCTTTGATGTTCTCTGGACCAAAATTCTTCTCTTCCTGGTATTTATGAATTTGTTTATACAGCCAAATAATTCAACCATTGAGGAAAACATTCTGCTCCCCACTGACTCATGCGTGGCTGCTAATAGAAACCCAGATGAGAAAGAGCAGATCACAAAGCTCACCACTAGCAGGAGAGGCTGAGACCAGAGAGAAAGGTTAAACATGTTACTGCTCGCTGAATATATTTTCACTTCAAATCTGTCTCAGCTGCATAAATTGTTCAATACTTATAATGAAAAATATTTATCTGCTTTATAATGAATTAATGCAGCAGTAGGAAAATGCACACTGATAATGTATTATTTCAATTTTACCTTTATTAGGGAAAAATACGCTTCTAAGAGCTTTTTTTTTTTTAATAAATGGATTCTTTAATGAGAAAATGTGTATTTAATATGCTCTGTTCTGCAGCTAAATACCTGTAACTGACTGATTCTTTTATTAGGTAAAAATACACTTCTAAGAGCTTTTTTTTTTTAATAAATGGATTCTTTAATGAGAAAATGTGTATTTAATATGCTCTGTTCTGCAGCTAAATACCTGTAACTGACTGATTCTTTCATAGCTCTATTTTATTTAGTTCAATTCTCACTAGTTTCTAAAACCTGCAGCTTTTATTTCTCAGTTTCTACATCGTTCACGGTGCAGTCACAGCTGTACTCTGCAGAGTTCAAAAAGCTGTTTTAAAACACAGAATGTCTCTCTTATTTTTTTGTTCACTCTGGCAAAGGGAAAGTTTTACACTTACAGAATGTCTCTCTTATTTTTTCTTCACTCTGGCAAAGGGAAAGTTTTACAC